GTACATATTTATGAGGTACAATGCAATATTTAGATACATGTATATCTTGTGTAATAATCAATTCAGGATAATTAGCAAATCTACCTCTCAGACATTTATCACTTCTTTGGGGTAAGAACATTCAAACTCCTTTCTTCTAGCTATTTTGAAATGTACAATACAGTATTATTAACTATAGTTGCCCTACTGTGCAATATAACACTAGAACCACGTGGTATTTTTATCTCTATATTATTTGAAGAGTTAGCACAGCAGCTGAATACTCAACAGATATTTGTTGAATTAACAAATATGTGCAGAAGTGAACAAATGAATGAGGCCTCTACAAAAGTCTCCTGGGCTCACAAGTATATAAATCCTGGGAACACCTTAAGGTCTGGTCATGTGCACTGCTCTGACAGATGAACCACGTGGTTTTTGTAGCATTCTCTCATGCTATGGCCTTTTGTTCAACAGGACCGGCCCTCAGCATTCTTTATTCCACATAGCACAGCTGACCCAGACATCATGTGCAGGAGGTACCGGCCAGCAGCCAGGAGCCCCGTGGTCCCTGTGAGGAACCAGCAAGGTTCCTGGACTCAGCGCCACCAGGGCATATGCACCACGGACTACTTTTCTATAATATGTAGTGATGTAAGGCCACCAAAGTGGACCTTTTCTTGTGCTGTTGTTAATGTCAAATTTAATTTGGCCAAGAGGTCTCACTGAAGGCTTCCCTGTCATCTCATACTCAAGACAGTTCCATGACATGCACCTCTCGAAGGCCTGGTGTTGAGATGGCAGGGTCCTTCATGTGGATCTGTGAATTCAGAGGAAGCGATAAGCAGTTGGCCGAGCTATTCTCTAAGAAGCCGGGCTTCATGTAGAGCCAGGGAAGGTGGGGGCTGCTTGAGTTACATCTGGCCTCACAAATTAAAGGGGACACAGAGGTTCTGGGCTCTCCATTGTTTTTGTCCAAAGCAGAATGGCAGTGTCTCCCTGCATAAATCTGTGAAGCAATATGCCTGACATCCAATGCTTCCCTAGGCCCAAAGAGGCATTTCAAGTGCTGCTGCATCTACTCAGGTACCTCCTGACAGCAGGCTTGACACCAGCTATTGTCCAACTCCCACTTAAACAAGATTCCCTCGCTGCTCCTGATGGGGCCAACACTGCAGGAGGAGGAAGCTGTGACAATGTCCAGATTTCCATGATGACCCTCTGAGGAGATCTCCATGGCTAGGTTACTGCAAGACTACAGCACCACGGAGGAGACTCCAGAACTCAAACTGTCATGGTAGCTCCACCCACTCCTGGTATGCCTAGAGGGCAGGCAAATGCTGACTGGAGGGAAGGGTTTGGAGGGGTGAAGGAGAGAGACCATCCTAGTGGGAGGAGCATGTGAGTGAAGGCTTATGGATGAGAAGGAACCAGGGAGAGGGACCAAAGCAGATGCCCTGACCAAGCGGAGGAAGAACATCAGGATGAAATGTGCTGCAGCAACGGATCAGCGGGGTGGAGGCTGATCCTTGGAAGGATGGAGAATCAGGCTAGAATGTGGCGCCCACACCTGTGTATTCCACAGGCAACTGCCACCGTTGTCCCCTAGATCTACCCTTGCTCCTGGATTCCTAGCTCTGGTTGGCAACATCCTCATCCAGTTAGACACCCACACAAGAGCCTTCTTAGACTCCTCCTATCTCACTCCTGACAGCTAATCAATCATTGAATCTTGCTGATTTTGACTCCAAAATCTGTCTTAAATTCATCCTTACTGCCACTTACCTGGTTCAGAACTCATTATCTCTTCCTCAGACCATGGCTATAATACCCTAATTGGTCTCCCTGTTTCCATCCAAAGTCAATAAAGATTTGTAGGCTGAAAAATGCATGAATAATGAGGCTTAAACGGTCATGGCCGCTCCCTAGTTGGGAAGCCTAGAAAGAAGCTTATTTACCATCCACTGAAGGCATATAGAAACTTGTCTCTGAAACCAAAGGTACCCTATAGGAGTCAAGCATGACCACCCAGCTTCCATTTCAGAAGTGATCCAGCCTGTATTTCCCTTGCAGTTGGAGAGAACTTGAGTCCCTACATGGAAGCTGACCCCAGGATCGGATTTGCATGTGGGCCTCACTCGTTTGCTTTCACCCATTTTATCTGAGTTCTCCTCCAGTGTAGTTCAAAAGCCAGGCTTCTAATGTGGAGTTGGGACTGACCCTGCCCAGCAGAGTTATTAGGACAGGATTCCCATAGGTGTGGGGTTGAGGGGGCAGTGCTATAGAGAGAAGCACAGACTTCTCTCCTTCAAAGGGAAGCTCCCAGCACCAAATAAGGCCGCACCTTGTGGGAAAACTGCCTGGCTGGCTGAATTAACCTGCCCTTCTGCAGGTTGGCAGCACAGATGGAAAGAGCTGTGTTAACATACTAGATGCAATTTTGGTCTAAAATTTCTTCCTTCAGAAAATTCTTCTCACATTTCTTATCACCCCCTTTCTCCCCAGCAGCATTCAAAGTCAAATCACAAGTGGATGCCCTTGGGCCCATGTGATCCTTAACAAGCCCATCGCAGCATCTCCTCCTACCCTGGAGGAGTTTGGGAAATGATGCTAACCTACAATGGCCTGGGGTTGAGTTGACTTATAATTCAGGTGCCTGGGGAGCAAAATGCGGTATTCCTTCAAAGTAAGATGTCATCTCAGTTGGCTTCTCTGCCCACAGAGGGGAGGAGAGGGCTGGAGGCAGTTTTCTGAATACTGCAGATCCCTTACAACCATTTTTGCAAGAGCTCTGTGGAATACTGAAGTTGTGGTGATTTTCCGACCTACTGCATCATTCTGGAGAGGTCTGCAGTCCCACAGGCCTTCGCTGCCAGCCAGGTGACAAGATAAATGGACCATGACAATACCAAGCAGGGTTTATTTCACATTCAGTTCTAAATAGTTTTACTTAGTTCCTTGGGTTAGAACAGTGTGGATGAAGGGGTGTGTGTGTGGTTGTGTGTATCTGTGTATATGTGCATTGGTGTGTGAGTGTGTGTGTGTGTGTGTATGAAAGCTGAGGGAGAAAACCTGCCCCAAAAATAGTAGTGGAGAGGCCCACCATGGAGGACGGCAGGCTAGACTGTGCATTCACAGCCTCCCTTTCTTTTGGAGGAGATGCAGTTACCTCCAAATACAAGCCCAGTTTAAGAGTAAGCCCTTTCCTAAGCGCCCCCAAACACAGCTGGAGAGTCCAGTGTGAGTTCCTGAGTATTTTGGGAGAGAATAAAGAAGAAATGAATTATGTGCAGGAGGAGGGGTGAAGGAGGCCCATCAACATGCCAACAGTCTGACTTAAAATGCACATGAGGTGCTTCTCGCCTTATGAGATACTCTTTCTCTCATTCCAGAGGCTCCCCTGAGAGATTTACATTCCGGTTCCAGAGGCCTGGATGGATAGCCTTAGTGGATACTGAGCTAAAATGCCCATGATTCAGACAGACTTATTTTCCAATCCTGGCTCTGTTGCTTTCTATCTGTGTGACCTTAGACAAGTCATTTTCACTCTCTGGCGCTCAAATTTTTCATCTCTAAAATGAGGTGGCTGACATCCTCCCCATGGTGAAGATGGGAGAACGGAATAAAATAATGCATGTGAAGAGGCTGGCAGGGCATGTACAGCAGGTGCTCAGGGAAGCTGGCTTTCCTCCATATCCACCTTTCATAGCACCCCTCTGTCAGTTCTGTTTCTTCACTCCTGCTCTGCCACCTTTCTTGTGGCGCCATCTCACAGCCAAATGACAATAAGCCCTCTCTGTCCCTCACAAGTGAATATCTTCCCTTGCCCACCTTCACCCTTACCCCAAGCTCTTCTCTGCTGCGGGCAGCCAGGCTCAGCTTCATGGGCATGTGACCTTGTTCCGAGGGGGAATGACTATGTGACAGAGCTGAATTTCTCCCCTGTCCTAACTTTGCTGATCTTTAACAAACAGAATGCCTATGATAAAAAGTTCCCTTTGCAACCAGACCAGCTAAGACTGATACATAGAACTAAGACAGTCCACCAAACGACCTCAAAAAGACCTCAGGCTTCATGATAATCTCATTTCCATGCTAAATGATACTTTCACCAGCACCATGACAGTTGACAATTGCCATGACAATGACTGGAAGAAGCTGTAAAAGGACCAAAAAGGAGGCAGTACTACTGGTTCCAGGAGGTTCACCACCCATGTCTGGAAAAGACATGAATCTTCTTCCCTTTGCTTTTCATGCCGATTCCTTCATTAGAGAAAGCCTGTATTTTAAGCCCCTCACCCTCACTCATTGGCTATGCTCCTGCTTCTCAATTCCATGGCCATTGAATAAAGCCTGCACTGCTGGACACTCACTTTTGGTTTGGGGTACTGGCTTCGTGCTACTGAATAGGTACAGATTCCGTCTTTGGCGAGACCAGTTTTGTCAGTAACCACCTGAGTAGTCACATAGGGCCCAATGCTTAGTTGTGTACAGTTGGTTTAATGCTTTGCTGTCTCTGTTTTAACACTCTTGTTAATTTTTGAACAAGAGCCCCCAATTTTCATTTGCCTTGGGCCTCACAAATTATACACCTGGTGCTTTGGGGAGGGGACCAATCTCTTCCCAGCTGACTGACACTACTAACTCTACGTACTGGGTGTGGTCTGGTAACTCTTTCTAAACAGCGGGGCAGAAAGGAACTCGTATCTCTTTGAGCCCTGTCCTAGGTGCTCTTGAACACATGGTGCCATTCAATCCCTGTTTTACCAAAGAAGAACAGTCTTTGCTTTACCATGTCACTTGCCCAAAGCTATATAACTAATACATGGAGTCTGAGTCGGGAGTTTAGTATCAAAACCCCTACACTCCTGCCATAAGTAAATTTAAAGTCCATCTAGGACTTACATATACTGAGTCTGGGGTGGAGAGTTGATTCTTTGCTAAGATAATAAGATGTGCTTTTTTGGTATACATCATTTAAAAGCAATTAATTTAAAAAATCTCCAAAGGGAAAAACCTACCACATAACTTCTGAAGAGATTTCTCAGAGTAGGTCTCCCGGTCACAGCCCTTCCCAATGTAATTAGTCTGCAGCTCTGCGACGATCTGGAGGGAAGACACAGCTCCATCGCACGTCTCCAGGCGGATGCTGGGGAACAGGGGCATGCTCCCGGAGCCGGGCTGGTACTCAATCCTTTTGGTCCAGTCTAAATAAACAAGGAAAGGATTCAAAGTAAATCAGGAGCAGTCAGTTCTGCTGGAACGTTTCTTTTGGAAATGTGAATTTGTTCCAATAAATTATTTGCCCCCACAAATATATCAGATATCAGGGAACAATTTGGGAATAATGGGAATTTTACATTTGCTTATGCAAGACTTCCTCCCTGAGAAATACTAGGAAAATACAGAAAACGGCACCTGGCTGCACTGAGCCACGTAGGAATACACAGAACATGCACAGGCACATGCACACACAGGTGGTCACACCCTCAGACATATACTAGCTACTGAGTTCACCATGTGTTATGAGGTTAGAGCCATACCCGTCCTTGCCTACAGTTACAACTTTTCATTTCTTTCCCAGATACTCCTTCGAGGACTTCCCAACAACACACCAGAGGCAACGCCCACCACCCCCAATTTTTTTTTTTTTTTTAGTATCTCAAAATTTATTTTTTTTAACTTTTGCTTTAGGTTTAGTTATACATGTGCAGGTTTGTTATATAGGTAAATTTGTGTCATGGGGGTTTGAAGGACAGATTATTTCAGTATCTGGGAGAGGCAACCCAGCCCTTCTTACATTCATTTCACAGGCAAACATCAGATCTCTTAAAGGTAAGGTGCCACACTTACTGTGGTACTTCTGTAATACTGTGCTAATGTTTTCTTTCTTTCTTTCTTTCTTTTTTTTAATGTGCCACTGATGACATTTTTTAGTGTTGTGCCTCTCACCCCATTTTCCAACTTTGCCTCACGTGGTCATTTTTAGGAAGGCATGTGTCTTGTTATAAAACAAAAGAAAGCATGGTTGTTCAAGGATTTCCTGAGGTCACGAAGTAGGGTGAAAGGAATCTCAGACATTTGGAACTATGACTCACTGAAGTAGGTCTCATGGTGTTGTCACTGCTTTTTAGTGAAAAAATAATTTGGATATGATAAAACATTAGAGAGGAACAAAATCACAATTAAAACGGCACCTTGCAAGAACAGAGCAATCAGCACATACAACCGCTGTGAGGGCATGTACACAGGAACTGACTGATGTAATAACAGCAGCACCTGAAAGTCAGAGCGGACTCAAGGCAGGCTCCCAGTGACCGATGATGTGTGTTTGCCCACCACAGCAGGCATCCTGTGCTCTGCAAAGACACATGTCTGGGATGGCTGCGCAGCCATCCTCAGCCAGACTTGTGCAGAAGAGTGATTCTGAGTCATCAAGCAATGTGAGTTATGGGCGCTATTAGTTTACTAATCCCAAATGTTCGTCACGTAGAGCATTGCTAGTTGATATCTCTTTGCTGAAGTAGAAATAAAAATCTATAAAGTTGCCTGACCTCACCCATGAGACACTCAGAACGTCCTGCATGGTGGGACCCAGGGTGGGGCTACAGTTACCAGAAGGCTCCTCTGTTCCCAGTGGGCCACTGGCGCCACCATGGTGATACCAGTACCTTGGAGGAGGCTGGGCTTCGGGGCTAGCCAGATGGCTCTGTTCACCGAGCAACCATTTGTTCAGGGTTTGTTTCTGTGTGCCAGGCTCTGCTTGGAGTACCAAGGGTACAGCAGTGAACAAGTCAAGAGCCTAGGGAGAGCAGCAGGTGATGAATAAGCCCGGGTTGCTCTGGCAGAGAGAGGAGTAAATGCTATGAAAAGAAAAGCCAGTGATAAAGAGGGGCTCCTTTAGCTTGAGAGTTCCCCTCTGTGCTGAGGCCAGAACATCAAGGACAAATGAATGCATTGGAGGAAGGCTCAGGGAAGCATGTGTGAAGCAGATGCAGCAATAAATCTTGGCTTGGCTTTGTAAGGTCAGGAAGTTCTTGAGCAGGTTGCTAAAGGTCTCTAAGCCTCAGGCACCTCATCAAGAAAATGGGGAGCATAGCACTGACCTTATAGTATTGAGGTAAGGATTGAATGTGAAAATGTGTGAATAACATGGAGTAGGGGCCCTGATCAATGTTGTTCCCTGGTGAGGACAAAGACAACTCCCCCCTAGCCCACCCCCCGCATGGCAACTCGGACACATCTCAGATCCTTTGAACTCTGAGTTTAGCTCTGAGTCCCCATGGTCACCAGCTGTCCTTTATGGGGTTTTTTTCAGAGTGTGTCAGAAGTAAGATTGCACATTACAGTTGTGAAATTCATCCCTAGGGTAATTACAATGAGAGGATATTTGGATGAGAGGGACTAATTTTAAAGGAGAATATCCCCAATTATTTGTCATTTATTTTCCTCATAGTCTTTAGGCGCTGTGTCTGGATTGGCCCATCCTCTCCCAGAGGATGAGATCATGAAGGTGCTGCAGCCCATTCTCCAAATGCCACAAGTGCAATCCTAAGGACAAACCACTAGAGCAAAAGGTGGCTTTTTGTCTGGTGTATCTAGTCATAGCGCTATAAGAAGCCATCCATACACACGGCCAGCTGCGTAGTATCCTAGGTACAAAATGTTTCATGCCACTGTGTATTTGATTGTGCTGTTTCTCCTATTTGGGGTTCCTTTTCTATCACCATCCCTCTTGCCATGTCCTCCATGCAGCCTTCTGGGATTTCTCCAGTCAAGGTAGATGCCCTCTCTCCTTCATGCTCCTACAGTATTTTCAACATTAGACTGCAGCGTTAGACTCCAAGCTTCACGGTGCCTCTGAGGCCTCATGGTGCTCGTCAGTGCCTGGCACAGAGAAGATGCTCATGGCTGAACGTGGTAGCTCATGCCTGTAATCCCAGCACTTTGAAAGGCTGAGGTTGGTGGATCAGCTAAGGTCAGGAGTTCGAGACAAGCCTGGCCAAGATGGCAAAACCCTGTCTCTACTTAAAAAAAAAAAAAAAAAAATTAGCCAGGTGTGGTGGTGGGCGCCTGTAATCCCAGCCACTTGGGAGGCTGAGGCAGGAGAACTGCTTGAATCCAGGAGGCAGAGGTTGCAGTGAGCCGAGATCACACCCTTCACTCTAGCCTGGGTGACAGAGAGAGACTTCATCTCAAAAAAAACAAAAAAACAAAAACAACAACAACAACAACAAAAACAACGCTCACTAGTGGTAGAAACTGTGACAGAATCCTAAGGCTATTTTTTGACAGCAAATATTTGCTGGCTGGATCTGGGGAGCCCCAGACATGTCAGCTTGATTGCTGCCTCGGTAGTACTCCTTGAACTGCAGACAAAATCCATGGCTTGTTCCCAGCTTCTCTGGAACTGACCCCATCTGTCTGCATCTTCACCCTGCTGAACTATCTGTAGCTTCTCTACACAGAACCATCTATCTCTCCTCTCTCCCCAAACCCTCCACATATTCCCCCTTTCTGTAAATTAAAAATGGAGAAAGCAGCTTTATTCTGGGAATGGGAGCTTGGTGTGTACCCCACAGCACCAGTCTTGAGGTTCTCATCCTTCTGCTAGTGTAGGAGAGCCCTCCCACAATACCTCCCCTCTGGTCACAGTCCCTTCTCTGGAGAAACCCATGACACCCTCCTCATTGATTCCCTTTATGCAGCAGAGGCTGCAGACTTCTCTTTCTCATCTAGATATTTTGGTGGTTATCTATGATGAGAAATTCCACCTCAAACCTTTTTTAAAAGGAGTGAAAATAAACAAGTCAGTAAATCTTGAAGGGAAAACCAGGAAGCACAACCCCATAGAGTCTTCATCCCCTCTCTCACCCTGGAGCGGGCAGGGCAGGGCCCTCTCTAACCACCAGGGAGAAATCAGGTATAAAAGAGTTTTAGCAACATCACAATTGCCAGTTGCTTTGGTGACCTCAAGAGGCTTGTTTCTGAGGGTTTATGAGGAGCAGGCAAAATTGCAACCATATAGTAAAAGAAATCGATGAAGCTTTCTGAGCAGTGTCCTTGAGAGAGTGACATGCTCACACAAACATCTTCTGTTTTCCAAGAAGGAGTTGGGGTGGGGTTAAAAGAGCAAAAGGCAACTCATCAAGTTCAGCCTTTACCACATGAAATGTCTGTCCCTCCTCATCTCCTGAGGGTAGGATAGCACGGTTCTTAAAAGTATGAATGTTTAATTCAGCATACCTGAGTTTAAATCCCACACTTACCACTTGCTGTGTAACTTTGGGCAAATCACTTATGCTCACTATGCCTCAGTTTCCCCTCTGTAAAGTTTGTATCTACCACTCCGGATTTTGGGGGGGATTACATGCAGAGTCATTTTAGCACTGAACACAACAAACATGTCCAATAGATATATTGGTAAATTGTTCATTCAATAACATTTATTGCAAAAAATAAGAGGAAATCAGTGACTAAGCACTAATAAGGTGCCAAGCACTTTTGTATGTATCCTTTCATTTAATCCTTTCAGGAGCCCAGTGGAGGAATGTTATCTTAATTGTACAAATGAGAAAACCATGGCTAAGAATTGGTGTAACTTGCCAAAGGCCACCTAGCTTTTTTTTTTTTTTTTTTTTAGATGGAGTTTTGCTCTTGTTGCCCAGGGCTGGAGTGCAGTGGTGTGATCTCAGCTCACTGCAACCTCTGCCTTTTGGGTTCAAGCGATTCTCCTGCCTCAGCCTCCCTAGCAGCTGGGATTACAGGCACCCACCACCATGCCTGGCTAAGTTTTGTATCTTTAGTAGAGATGGGATTTCACCATGTTTGCCAGGCTGATCTCTAACTCTTGACTTTAGATGATCCACCCACCTTGGCCTCCTGAAGTGCTGGGATTATGGGCCACATAGCTTTTTTACAAAAGCTTCTCTACTATTCTGCGGATTTGCCAGAACTGAAACAACCATAATTTTTACAGATTCCTGTTTAACATTCAATTTATGCTGACACCTTTTTTAAAAACAGTGATAATCCCAGTGACGGTAAAAGATCAAAGAGTGTTGTCGGTTTCATCAGTGCCTGACCTTGAGGGCAGCTTATGGGGCTGGAGGTTTGCTCTGACACTGAAGACTGCAGAAATCCAGACTTGAATCTCACCCCTGCCAAATCCGAGTCATGTGAATCTAGCAAAGCTGCTGCCATCTCA